CAGAAATACTCAGAAATGCAATTTCGCATGTATTTTTCTCATATGTCCTGTAGCATCAAAAAATGCCATATGAACTTGTGAAAAACAAGAAAAACAGGATTTTCATTGGAGTAGGTCTTCAAAGTTCCTGTGGGGAACTTTCAGTTTATGTCAAATTCGGCGCCTCCTGTGGATAAAGTAGTCTTTGCTTATCTTGTACTTTATATGCATAAGTAGTTTTTTCTGATGTAACCATCTGATTCTGCTGACAGTTCTCAATCAAATGTATGATTTATTTTAAAAAATTTTATTTGGGTGTATTTTTAGTTCTGCTGAAACCTACCATCTTGCTGTGGTTTAAGGCACTAAAACTACAACATAAAAATTGTCAGCCTTCATGCTAATGGTCTTGTTTATGAAAAGGCACTGACATGAATTTTAGTTTATTTGGTCAATGTCAGAAACCTCCTTACTGGAGTTTTAACAGTCAACAGAAACTTAACCACTACCGAATTTGTTTTTTTAAGTTATGAGAATGAGTACCTTAGCAGTTGGTATGAAATCACCCTGTTAGAACAATAACACACAAAGTATGCCATAATATTTATCCAAGAGATGCAGTGAAGCACCAAACACACCAGATAAGCTATGATAGATGAGGTTTACTGCACTTACTTCTCACTCAACTGCAGCCGTAGTCATTTATGTCAAAGCCTTGGTGACGGCTTTAACAGGTGAGTTATATGAAAGTCACCTGATCAAGTTTTAACAAATAGAAAAACAAGTTAGCTGTTAAATGCACCAGCCTGTAAATAGGTTTATTTCTACCCTAAAATTAGATATTTTGTCGCAGGAACTAGAATGGGGACTCACACACCTTTGAAGTCAACTCCAAGTATCTACATGAGCTGCTTTTTTTGGTACTCCCACAACAGGCTTCATTTCTCAGCTCAAGGTTTCCTGGTCCTTATAAATGGGCAAATGCAAATTGTAAGATTCATTTGTTAAAAAAATGCTTTTAAGAAGATTTGTATGTTGGAGAGGAGACCAAAAAAAATTATTCATGGAGGACATGAAGCAGGGGAGGTAAGTGATCCAGACAGTAGAGATGGTGTCTGTATCCAGGTTTATGTGTATCTGTGTGTGTGTGTAATTTAAAAAATAAGAAACCTGTGGACTGAATCAGCAAAGCCACATCTGACTGAGCACCACAAGGTGAACATTCATCTTAAGCGAGTGGATTGAACACCAAAAGGGCAACACACACCGCAGCTGCAGTGCATAATGTATACTGCATTAAAAAAAGAGAGAGAAAAAAATGTCACATAGAAACAAACAAAAGCCAAGCACTCCTGATCCCACTGATGCACTCTTGTGGGACCAGACCCTCTGTCTCTCCCTGTCACTACTTGTAGACAACAAAAGACCTTACACCCTGTTTGTTATTGATGGCAGAGCAGAGACCTTCCACCTCTGACCTCCAGGAGCAACCTTGACCTCAGGTTTGACCTCTTGGGACAGTTGTAATGATACCAGGGTACGTCTAATGACCCCCAGGCAGGAGAGAGGTCAGTGATGAAAGGTCAAGAGCAGATGTCCCACAGTCACAGTCACTGTGACCCCAGGAAGAGACTGGATCTTCTGATTAACTGAGCAGACAGTCGATTTAGGGATGAGAACCCAATGATGGGGGAGCTGGGCGTCTTTTTATCAGAGATTACAGGTCAGCACAGCTCACCGATCATTCAGGGGACATTTTCTGTCGGAAACATCAGACTGGAATGAGAGACGGACAGGAAGATAAGCACAGGGGTGTTGAGCAGCAGTGGTAAGATCTCTTTGATGGAATCCACTGTTACAAAAAACCTCCATTTATTTTTTCAGCTAAAAAGTGCCTTCCCAGGTGTGTAAGATAACCATGCCACTCGTGCGTCCCCACAGCACCCCATCACAGATGCTGGGTTTTGAACTGTGCACTGATATCAAGCCAAGTGATTACCCTCTCCTTTAGAGCACAGGGCAGAGCATCCATGATTTCCAAAACAAAAACCAGATTTTGATTCTTCAGACCACAGGAAAGTCTCAGTCCATCTAAAATTGGCCCAGGTCTGGAGAAGTCACTGGTGTTCCTGGATCATATTCACATAGGGTTTCTTCTTTCTATTGTGAGTGTTGTGGATCTGAGGGTTCAGGGATCACAGCCATCCATTACTGGTTGTTGCTCTTGTCCCTTTTGTACCGATATTCCTTCTGTGACTCAATGTACTGTTAGTGATGACATCCCATCATCCTTTGCAGTATTACACTGAGGACATTATTCTGAACTTACTGAACTATTTGCTCATTCAGTCTTTCACAGAGTGGTAAACCTCTTGTGAAAGATGTAGCTCCCCAGAATCAAAAAGAAAATGCTTTTTCAAGTCAGTCTTGTTACTAGGGTTGCAAAGGGGTGGACAATTTCTAGAAATTTTCCATGGGAAGTTAAGCTGGGGAATTTTGGAAATATTCCAAATTGGAAATT